TGTGTGTTGTGTGAAAGTATGGTATTTTATCTTCTGATGAAGAAAGTGTAGAATTTCCTCTTCTCTCATGTTCAAATTTCTGCATACAGAGGTCAGCACTGCTTAATATTAGAATGTTACTTTCTTCCTAAAGATAATATAATTCTAAGTGACACTGAGCAGGCTGCTTATATGTCTGCATAAATGAAGACTTGAAATTTATTTAATGGGGCCTTTGGTTTCAATATACCGTGGAGAGATAGATACTGTATCTAGCAGAGCTATGTGTCAGCCTTACAAAATAAACTTCTGGTCAAGCGGCAATTCCTTTGTTGACTTAACCACAATTAGATATGAGACTCTGAAAATGTCTGCAAAGTATTTTCATGTAGCATAGACATATCTCCTCCTGGTTGACAAGGGAACCAGGGGGAGATACGTTGGTCTCTTTGCTAAGTTCACTAATTCTGAAATAACTGAAAAAAAAAAAGTTCCATTCCTACAACTCTGAGCATCGGTTATTTGTAGATTGCCTATCAGTCAGGAAGGAGGTAATATATTTTCCATGTTATCTTGGCTCAAGAGACAGAACATGTGACTTTCATGGTTTGGTTATAGGTTTGGGTTCAGCCTGTCGTAACATCATGCCAAGAAGCAAGTAACAGTCCAGGAGGGAGTAGTTCTCACCTCACTCTGCCTACGTATTGTAGAAGGATGGACAGATTTTAAGAAGGCCAAGGTTGGATGGAAGTGGGGAGCATGGAAGATGGCCTGTGGGCACTTATCTGGGATCACAAAGAAGACAATGTCAATGCTGAGTTACAACCTGAAGGAAAAGAAAAGGAAGTAGGTGGGAATCCTCTGACTTCTCCTGTTGCAGGATATTTGATCCCATTGTGAACCTTAAAATTGTGAACTATACAACCCTGTTTCTTGTTAGTTGTGGTTGAGTCCTATCACACACCTTTAATCCAAGAACTTTTTATTGGAAACAGGTGATTAATGTGGTTCACCCGGCCCTAGCACACACTTCTAATCCAAGAACTTTCTATACACAGGATTTAATAAAGTTAATCCTAGGTCAAGAGGCAGAGCAAGAAACCAGTTGACAGGGATTAAAGAGTAGGAAGAACTTTGAGTCGAGAGGTATTTAAAACAGTGTGGAAAAGAAGAGAGAGCTTTTATCTCAAGCACTGGCTTTAGCTAGGGCTTCAGCTCCTCAGCTCCCTGGCTTTTTAGGCTTTGAGCTAGTAAGCTTCTGGCCTTGGATTTTCTTGGCCCATTTCTCCTAGGATATGCGTGGTTTGGATTTTTTCCACCAAGACTTGAGCTGAGAAGGAAGGTCAGCTGGGTGCTTTGTCTGCCTCTCTGAGCTAGCAGGTTTTCACCTCAGCATCTGTTTTTTGAGTCTTTATTGAACGAATGAGATTTTCATGTTTATAAAACAACATTCTCCTTTCCTCATTTTCTCTGATTATTACATCAAGCTCAAGTCATTTGCCCACAGAATTTGGAAACAGTATCTACAGGCAAGAGTGCAACATAAGATGGGGGAATGAACAGATAAATGACCAGACCCTTAGATTATATAAAAGATGTATTGTTTCTACTTAATAAGGTAGATGCTTATTGATGTTTTATGTCTGCATAAGTAAGCTCTCAGCTACTGTAGCAAAATATCTGAGAAAAGCATAGCATTTGAGTTTTTGGTCCGTGGTTGCATGGTTGTTTGTGGACCAGTGGTGAGCACGTTAAGTCTTGAGTGGGTGTGTATTATCGACACAAGCATGACTGCAAAGGCTTCCTTCTGCTCACTGTGTGTATGTTGACACTGTGTGCAGAGAGAATAATCCACAACTTCCTCTTCCTGGATATTTCCAGCTACCCAGGTTCCCTATAAAATCCTTGTGCTGAGATTAGCTCAGCCTGCTTCCTTGTTCGGCTGTGTACAATAAACCTGTCTCAATTTGAGTCTATAAATGCTTCAAGGTTTCCCACTGGGGCTGGTGCATCTCTATCAGCGCATGGCACACCCAGTCCAGCTTTCTGTGTATCATACTGTGCTGTCTGGAAAGTCAAAAGAGGAAGACACTCACGTCTCACCATCTCCTTTTAGGTACATCCCCAAAGACATGCCTTCTTTTGCTAGATTTTTTTTTTTTTGTCTCAATGTTTCTAATATGTCCCAATGATACCATGAGCCAGGGACATGGCTTTTAACATATGATCCTTTGAGAGACATTAAAATCTGAACTAGAGTAATGTCCTTGAAGCACAGGCATAAGATCCTGGCCATTTCCTATGGCGTCTGATCTGGCCCAGCACTATGCAGAAGAAAACTGTGTCTATTCACTAATTTTTGTGTGTTTGTGTATTTAAGGGTCTGGGACTACATATGCTTGAAATTTAACCTACCAGGCATAGCTGTAGAAAGTCGAGATAAGTGAGTAAACAAAATTGCCAGCAGTGTTAAGCCCTTTACGGTGCTGCTGTTCTGGTTAAGACAGACAGACAATAGAAAATAATTAGTCTGTTTGGAGAATGTGAGTGCTATGGGCAAAACAAGCAGAATGAAATGGACAGAAATAAGCTCCTCCAAAGGGGTGGAGACGTGTGTGATTTTACATAGAATGATCAGTATACAGATCAGTATACAGACTTTGTTTTATTCTTTCTATAAAAAGTCAGGCTAGACTTCCTCAGACCAAGGAGCCATTCCACTTCCCTACTGATTGTGTCAAATCCATAACAGTTTATTAAATTTAAAGCTTCCCTATCTTTGAAGGAGTATGATTCTCTGTCTTTAAAGACCGAAATTGTATAGTGACTTTGTTCTAGACTGTCAATGCGAGCTGTCATTCAGAAAAAAATAAATAAATTGCTTATATCATTATTTACAGTTTGATTAATTTCACTGCATGTTTACTGTCATTAAACTTTAAGAAAATAATTAAAAATTCCAAAGACAGATATGCTGTGCAAAATAGACATATAAGTGAAGATTTCCCATCCACTGGCTTCAGACCAATTTTACACTTACACACACAATTCTGCTTAAAATCTGTTCTTCTGAATACTGTATAGTTTTCCCTTTTTCAGAAAGGTTGTTCTATATGAGGACAATATTTATTGTAAGACCACCCTGCCAACTTTGTGCCTGGATATCTTTTCCTCACCTTGGTCCATTGCTTTCAAGTTGACTCTGTCACACTACATTTTCTATACTGTTCTGATCAGTCTCACTACTCACAACAGGTCCTAGGCTAGGCCAGCAGAGCTGCCCCACAGGTAAAACCCATGAATCTTTAGAAGGTTATCCTGTGTTTAAGGCAGTTGTTCTTTTGGCTGGAGATGCACAGTGATCCTTACTTAAACCTAAACCAAAATACTCCTCCAGTTATTTCCCTTGGGTGGCTGCTTAGAGAATATCTAATTTTTCTCTCTCTCTTTTTTTAAATTAAGATTTGTTTACTTCATGTGTACAAGTACTTTGCTTACTTGTGCTTTGCCACAGACACACTTTGTATCCATGGAGGCTAGAAGAGAGCATTAGCTCCCCAGGAACTTGAATTGCAAAAGTCTGTGAACCACCACATGGATACAAGAAAAAAACTCAATCCTTTGCCAGAACAGCAAGTGCTCTTAACCCGTGAGCCATCTCTCCAGCATGAGAATACTTCAGATACATTCTTCCTTTTATGACTTCTTATGAAGAATTGTATTATTTGGGAGACTTGTTGCTCTTGCAGAGGACCTGTGTTCAATTTCCAGAACCCACACAACAGCTCACAACCACCTTTAATTCCATTTCCAGGAAATCCAAAAGCCCTCTTCTGGTCTCCACTGGCACCCAGGCAGGCATTTGATACACGTACCTACATTCAAGCAAACACTTATCCACATGAAACAATAATTGTATCAGTTATCGTTCATATCACTGTGACAGAATGCCTGAAAGAAGCAACTTAAAGAAAGAGAGACATACTTTGGTTCCTGGTTTCAGGGAGTATGTGTTTATCATGATGGAGGAGGTACAGTAGTATAGCTCCATGCGGTGGGAGTCTAGACACCTCAGAAGACAGGAAGTAGAGATCTTGAGACAGAATTGCAGAAGCAGAACCAGGTTATAGGCCCCTTTCTCCAGTTAGGCAGAGCCTCCCATAGGTTCCACGGTTACTCATAGCAGCACTACGATGGGGAGACCAAGTGTCCAAAGACATGAGCCCACGGAGGGTGTTTCATATTGACAAAGGACCTTGTGGATTTGAAGTAATGTGGAGATAAAAATCAAGGTAGCACAGAAATCTGTCTGCTGGTCAATCCTTCCATCAGTTGTATGCTGACGATAGAAAAGACATTGCTGTCTCCACTGGCCATAGAAAAGACACCTGGAGAATTCATTGGTGAACCTGTAAGAATTGCTTCTTTTTTTGTTTTGTTTTTAATATAAATTAAAAGGAGATTTATTAGAATGGCTTACAGGTCATAGTTCAGGCAGTTTTTTATATTAATTACAGTTTATTCATTTTTCCCCCAGCTGTAGCCCTCTCCCTCATTCCCTCCCAATCCCTCCATTCCTCTCACATCTCTTCCCATGCCCCTCTCGAAATCTAGATAAGCCATTGCCAGAGTATTTTTTCAGTACAGCAAGAATTTTCATAGGAATCAAAAGGCTAGAAGAAATAAAAGACTTCTGGAAAAAAAAAAAAAGAGGAGGTGGGAGAGACAGGGACCAGCAAAGCGCCCATGTGTGGAACTGTGTGGCATGGTTCTGCAGCATTTTATTTCGTGGAATTTGTGGAACATAATGGAATGAAGAATGTTTTTGCTGGAGTTCATTACTACCTGATTCAGAGCAGTTCACTCCAGGTTTTACCAAAAGACATAAAACCATTATTGTGATGGTCCATCCTGTGGAATTATAGGCAGAATGAATCTATCATTCAATGCAAAGACTGAACTCTGGGACAGAAGATTCTGAGCAGAATACATGTTAAATGCTTTATAAGATGTGGAGATGAAACCCCTGGCAATGGGCAAAGAGACACCTTGTTGGTTGGTGGTGTTGTCCTTATATCCGTCAGGGGCAGAGAAGGTGGCAGCCCTTTATTCATCCAACTTGATGCCTGGCTTGGTGGCCAAAGCCATCTTATGCCTAGGATTCATAAAAATCCAATCCAATCAGATCAAATACAGGCAGCACAGCATGGGATGAGGAAGACAGAGACTTGCGGTCCACCATGGCACAGGCGGGCCATAGAAACCCACTTGCTGCCATACCACTAAGCACTGATGTATGATGTTACCCAGAGACCCAACAACCATGTGGCCAACCTGCAGTGGGAACCACCACAATGTGAGAGTATGTGGTGACAGATGGGAGAGAAAGAGAAGTGAAACAGCTTGAGCATTATGGAGAGAGATGGAGCTGGAGAGTTGAGGATGGAGAGTTGTAGCCTGATGTGGATGGTGAGCCTTGCCACCTGGGGCTATGGTGAGGTCTCAGCCTGAGCTGCTGCTGAGGCTGCGTCTACGGCTAAGCTGCAAAAGGGGTTGGTGTCAACGTCAAACAACCACAGAATGTGACAGAATTAATGGCTGTTCTGTGGTTGTCGGACTGAGAATGGCCCCCATAGTCTCATATATTTGCATGCTTAGTTGTCAGTTGGTCAAACTGTTAGGGAAGGAATAGGTAGTGTTGGAGAAGGGGTGCCACTAGTAGTGGCCTTCAAAGTTTCAAAAGTCTGACGCGTTCCCAGGTGACCCCTGCCCCTGCCTGGTGATTGTGTCTTAAGACATAAGTTCTCAGCTACCACTGCAGAACCATTCCTACCTGCCTGCTACCACATTCTCTACCATGAAGATCATGGACTCACACTTTTAGACTGTAAGCCCTAATAAATCTTTTCTTCTATAAGCTGCCTTGGCCATAGTGTCTTATCACAGAAACAAAAAGGTAAACAAGACACATTCTATCTTCTATCTTTAAATAAGTCTTTGCAATATCTTAAATTCAAAGTTTGTTAAATTTAATTTTTTTAAATAGAGGAATTCAAATCACTTTATTGAATTTACCTTAGCTTCCATTTTTTTCAGATTTGTAATTCTCCTAGATTGTCTTATTGTTCTTGTATCTAGTATTACCAAATAACACTAAGTTCTGAGTCTTGCAGTAGATATTGGGAAACAGCAATAAACAAGACAAGTTTCCATCTTGTGGACTTGGCTCCCTAAACCTACCTAAATCAACGCCCTTTTTGAATCATTATTGTAGCCTCTGCATCAGAGACTGGATTTCTAAATGAAGGCCTGGAATAGGGAACACCATTCTCTGTGACTCATACTAGTGGGTCCATTACTGCCATATCACATGCCTGGGAGTTATGACATAAAAGAGAAACTTAGTTATTCTGACTGGCTTTAGGCTGATGAAATCCAGGAAGGATAAAGCAAGCTGATCAAGATAGGGCAAAGGTTAGACATTGGAAATGTAAGACAGGCTCCTTAGATGGTTTGCCTGCTGGTTCCACAGTCTGTGGTAGGAGAATTGGTGCAAGCTCTCTTCTTCAATCCTAACTGGTTCTTGGCTTCATAGTCATGGTAAACATAACACAACAGAGACATCAGAGCAAACAGGGAATAAGGCACTGTTTACAATGACTTTAGGTATGTGAGAATTTTTAAGTAAACAGCAAAGGGCTCCAGAAGAAGTAACAATACATTATATTTCTTCAAGAACAAGGTAAAAGTCCAGTTAATTTTTGTGGTTCTGGTTTCTTGGAACAGGGGAATTGTAAAGATAAATCAAAAGCATTGTATACAATGAATACACAGATACATATCAGACACCTTTGAGATGACGGAAAGAGCCAAGAAGACTTGAGACAGAGAAAACAGCTTCTCCTGAGAGGGACTTGCCAGTTTCCTGTCAACGAGGGTGAATGAAAACAAAATAAACATGGTGCATTTCTGGTTCTGAGATAAGATTAGCACCAGCTCGGAGGTCTGTAGGGGAAAGGCCTGCTGATGCCCTGTAAAGACAAGGCAGCAATAGGAAGGCCTGGGCAGGCTCCCAGCAAGGAAGCTGTCTAGCTCGATCCCTGCTTCTTTTATTTATTTATTTATTTATTTGTTTATTTATTTATTTATTTATTTATTTATTTCCCCCGCTTCTTTTAATTTGATGTGATGAACCTGTCTCTTGGGACGTACAAGCAAACAATGGAACCTTGGAGGAAAAAGGAGCCTTGGATGGGTACATGATTTGCCCATTTACCAGTCTGACTTTTGTTTATTATGTCTCTTTCAACACCATTCCTACTCCTAGGAACCCCTGGGGTAAAAATAGAATCTTCAGAAATGTAGAGAAGATTAGTGAGGTTTTCTTAAAAGCCACACATCACTCTTAACACCACTCCCCTGCTATCACAAGCTAGTCCCAAACTGAGGAATAGTGCCTGGTAGACACATATTTATAGATTATCAGTTTCCTTGAAGTAAGGGCATTAGAACATGAATTGGTTTCTACTGTGAGGGACATTAGAATGGCTAAGATGCTACAGAAATAGGTATCCTCTTTGGTAGACATACCATTTCCAAATTAGTAATAAAGCCACTACCAACCTGCAATGCTATATCAAAGATGATCTCAAGTGAAAGGAGGTCCAGGTGAAAATGCTGGACTCTACACCTCAGAACTGGATTTGCTAAGGCAGCACACAGGGTCCAGCAGGCTCATGGAAGCCTGGCATGGGGCCAGGGAAGAACTTCTCTCAGTGTGTGATTCACTTACATGTCCCTGACCTCTATGGGAAGCCAGAGCTCTAACATCCTTAGCTAATGGACTTTGGGCCTGAATCCTCTGAGCCTGAGTAGAATAGATGAGCTATGGGTCTACCGCCACCCCATTTAATGGAAACAGTTAACAGCTGGACCCTGCAAAGTAATCCAAAGTGAGATCCCTACCTGAAAAACATGAGAAACAGTTAGAGGAAGCATGATTGAATATGAACAAGGCAAATGAATGCACAGCCTTATTGAACATCTACCACAGGACAGGTACTGATTTAAGGGTCATCACTGCTTTCACCTCATCTACCCATTAAAACTCTGTAATTAACACCCCTTCTTCTTTGGCAACTGATATATGTGTTGAACAAGTCAATTGTTCAAATTCACAGAAAATTAAATGGCATATCCTCTGTGGCTCCAGCTATACTGCGCTAGACCCTTGAACATATCCTGTCGTCTTTAATCTCTGTAGCTTGAACTTCTGTTCCTTCCCAACAGCATCATCATTCCACGTATACCACAGACTTCTACTCAGTTTACTCCTACTTGTCCTTTGCATAAGGGCTTACTTTCACTTCCCCACAAAGTCCTTCCTGTCCCACCCGCTTTACCACCCCCAGTTTCAGTTAGCTGCCTTCTTTCATGCTTCCATTTCCCCATCCCAGCATCTGCTATCTTACTGAAACTGTCTATGTACTAGCTGCTCTTCATTGGCTATAATCGCTTATGAGTCCAGCGCCAATGCCTTATTTTTAACCACACTTTAAGTAAGTATATGAACCACTTTCTGGTTCATAGCAGAATTCCATAAAAGGTTTTGAGTTGTTTGAGACCCAGTGTTTAGAACTTTAGGACTATAAGTTAGAGTTATTGCAGCTAGCTTTCAGATGGCTGGCAATAACTGGCTTAAAATTGTCCCCTAATTCCTGCCTCTTCTGAAGGAAGAAAGAACTTTGGATGGGGATTAAGGACATCACATCTGGAGGGCTGTGGAGGCTTGTGTCCATCAAGGCTTGTGATCCAGAAGATCCAGAGAGATACACTCACTGTAATAAACTTTGTGCCTAAGTAGGAGGGCAAAATTTCAGAACTGCCTCCCTTGGATACTATGAGATAGAACTGGATAAAAAGGGAGATGCTGTAGGAAAAACTTTCACCAACAGATGTGCCCTGAGAACCTGCTAGGTATAACTAGGTTGGTCCATATAAAAATTACCAAGAAGAAAAGGTAACTAGAAGCCACCTGTGATGGTACACTTCTATAACTCCACCTGATAAAGAGTCTGAGGAGGGAGGATTTAAGTTCATGGTCAGCCTGAGTAACTAATACAGACCTTATCTCAAAAAAAAAAGAAAAAAAAAAGAGTAACAAGAAAGATTGGCAGATCTTAAAACTGAGCCATCTGTTAGAAAGTCAGATGGCTGATCTTCATCGTCAACTTGGTTTGATTTAGATTCACCTAAGAGATACATCTCTGGATATATGTGTGAAGGTTTCTCAACATCTTAAGTAAGAAGAGAATATCCTTGACTATCATCAATATGGATGGCATATTGATGAGTTTGAATCTTGGAATGAGAATATATAAGGTAAAAAGAGAAAGCCATCAGAGCAATGGTTCTCAAGATGCACAACCCTTTCACAGGGGTCACATGTCAGATATCCTGTATATCAGATGTTTACAATTCATAACAGTAGCAAAATTACAGTTATAAAGTTGCAATGAAAATAATTTTATGGTTGGAGGTCACCACAACATAAGGAACTGTATTAAAGGCTTGCAGCGCTAGGATGGTTGAGAAGCACTGCGCAGAACATATGAGTCCCCTTCCTCTTAGACCATTAAGATGTGGGAAAGCAGCCACGTAACACCCGTCATCACAAAGAGGCCTTCCACCACTCCTTTTCAGCTGAGATGGACTGTATCACCCCAAACTGTAAACCAAAATAAACTTCCCATTCCTTAAGTTGCTTCTTGTCAGGCATTTGATCACAGTTATGAGGAAAGTCATCTATATATTATGGCGATTTAAAACTTTCCTCACGTGTTCTGTTACATTGAAGACTTTGAGTATGTGGCAGTTAGTCTTCAGATCACAGCACAAAAGCATGCACAAACCAAGATGCATCACACGGTTGCTACTCACAGCAGCTGTCTATTATCCGAATTGGGGCTTCTTCTCCATTTCTGTCATCCCTGAGATCTCTACACCTTCTTGGATCTCAATTGATTCCATTTCTAACAGCTTTTAGCACAACCGTAGCTTCTTTTTAGAAGTAGATACTCACTCTGTGTGGGTGGTGGGTAGAGAACAGATGATTTATTTACTTTCTGCTTTTAAGATTTAATGAAAATTTCTGAGGAAGACATACAGC